GCAAAATGCGACGGACGACGGGCGACGGAAGATATGGAATTCCATACAAAGAGTCATTTTGGGAGGACGTTGCTGGGACAAAGTTAATTCTTACCAGTTTTGTAGTTGAAAATGTCACAGTATAATATCAGGGTTCTAAAAGTAAGGATTTCCTTACATTTTCCTCTTCCCCTAGTGTCACAATAGTAGGCCAGTAGTCCGGAAAACAATTCTCGATTTACGTTACATGCACGACCTACACCGTTGCAGTTTATACACAAAGTTCACTTTTTTTAGCTGGCGCCACTTCTATTACCACGAATTGCTTTTTCAGTCAAAAAAGGTTCTAGTTGTTATTATTTTTAAAATCTGCATAAAAATGTCCAGACCAGAGGCGCGCTTTTGTGTCTGTTTTGGAAACGACTGTTTTGATTGGCAGCTACATGTACTTGTCAGCTTCAAAGAACTCATGGAATGTGTCACTTGAGACAAGTACCAGTCTGGTGCGCGGAGATATACAGGGATATGTATGGAAAAACGAAATAGACGTCTGGGAAATATGGTCAATTGCGGTTTCATCTCAACCTCGTTATCAGTATTGTACGTGTGTTACTGTGGAAGGTTGGAAACGTCTGGGACAAGGTTGATGTCTCAATCTGTAAAAATCTGTGAAAGGTGGAGGGATTGTCCGGTCTGCCAGTGCCAGTTAATTGTCGCTTTTGTCCCCGCTCAAGACGGTGTTTTGAAGTAGAAACAGCACCATACTTTTGTGTCTCCCTTAGTCACAGAAGCATGTCTGGAAAGGATTCAAGATCACAGGTAGATGAGAGATATTCTAATGCCAAAATAACGACCTTGTGGTCCTCCTAGTCTGGTCATCAGGCGTCAGGTTGAGCATGAACATGATTGATGGCATCTGTTTTCCTTCCTCCATGGTTTCAACTAAGGGGGGGGGTAGGGGTTTCATTGTGACATTCGCAGGCAGGATTTTGCATGTTAAGGCTTACGCTACTGCAGTGGCTGTGTTCAAGCACAGACACGCGGTTGTCAGTTTTCACTTTACTTTAGGTCTCCTTTTATTTATGTTTTCCCCCAAATAGGCTAGGCCTAGTATTTAAATATTTGTAGGCCTAGCTAGGTACGTAATACTAATACCATAGGGTCATCAGGTCATGGTATTTAGTGTCAATAAGCACCAATTAGCCTCAACAAAGCATCAACAAGTTATTCAAGCATATTTTTGCAAAGATTTTATACTTAATGTTCAGATCTTAGGGGCCTAATTATGCTCCTACATATTATCAAATTCAATGTATCATATCAATGTGAAATGATATTTGAGTGTTGAAATTTGAGCGACAAAGTTGGACCTGTTTGTGCAGTCCGACCGGCCGCCATCTTGTTTTCGCATGGACAGCAGAGGAAAGAAAGATGGTGGTCCCCATACATCACGAAAAATTTTCTTTTTCCTGTGAGAATCTGGAACTGGTTGCAAATTCAGTGTTTCTTTCATACACTGGCAAGTGTTAGAGTCTTTAAACTATCATGAAACCACTTTTAAATCAGTAGAGGGTATTTTCAAGTTGTTGACACTACTTGTGTTTGTTGACGCTTGTTGACGCTAAATAGCATGACCGCCGTAATACGTAGTATTTTTTATGTAGCGAATTACACGGTACCTGTGGTTTGATACATTGCATGTTGTTTTAATTGATTTGGGCAGAGTTCCATATACGGACGCCGCTGGACACCTTATGCACAAACCCTTTGAAACTAACTAGTCGGAAAAATTTTAAGTGTTTTCTAAGTAAATGACTCGGTTTTTGCCTTCTAAATTGAACTTTTCTGGACATGTTTTTGCTTTCTGATGGCTAATAGGTCACTTTAGGGAATAATTACTGGCGTCCGTACATGGAACGCTTCCCGTTGATTTTAGCAATAGCATATCTTCTTAGAGCACAAACAATTTTCCTCAGGAAACCTCATCACAGGGACTCGGAAGGTTGACAGGACATCACTGTTAGGCATCATCCAATTTGACTTCAGGCCCGAGCTAGCTGTGTGAATTTGAAAAGAGTGAAGACATACTTCAGTTCAAGTTTCTTGACAAGCTTGAAGTAACAAAGAGGGTCCCCTGGTTGGTGGAACTCACCACATGCATTTGTCGGTTTTAGTGCATTTGCCGAACACGCTTGACCAATTTGCATGACTTGCAATGAAATGCACAGTTTTTGAGCGTGCGCCATGCACATGAATGAGCCCAATTGAAAAACTTCCCACCAAGCTGTCTCTGGCGATGTTGCGCTTCCAATCAGAGTAGATTGTAATTTCAGTTGGTCAAATTATTTCTCTTGTGTCTGCCAAATTGCTCCCCTGTCCAAGTTTGAGGGCCTGGAGCAGTTTCTTAACCCTAATCTTCCACAACCACACAGAATTAAACAGTAGTAAAGTGTTTAATTCCGTGGGGACAGGTTTGGTAGGCCCACAACAGCTGGCTTTTGCATTGGGTTTGGCATACCTCAGAAAAACAAAGTCCAACAGCCTCTGCACAAAGTCCCATATGGGTGTGTAACTTTGTGTGAATGGGGAAGGTTAGGGCCAGCAACCGTTGGGGGGGGGTAGGGTTAAAGTTAAAGTCAAAAGAGTTTGGTATGGCTTTGTTTTAAAAGTGCAAACCAACTGTAAACAAATGTCTCCCAAGCAACTTTTTCTCACACTTGACATTAATTAAGCATTACATCAAGGATGTAACGTTTTATACTAGGTTTTGCCTGTACACCAACTGACTATTCATTACCTGCATGTTATCCATTCTTTATTTTAAAATTGTTTTTAATACAGTTTTCCAACCCAGAGACTCCTGGGTATGTTGGCTTTGCCAATCTGCCCAATCAGGTTCATCGGAAATCAGTCAAGAAAGGCTTTGAATTCACCCTTATGGTTGTTGGTGAGTAGCAGAACTGTTACCAGTTGCCATGGAATGACAATAAACATAACATGTCACTGACACTAGTACAATTCAATTAATATTCAGAGCGGTGATGTCAGTAACAAATACTTACGTAGATAGCTGATCAGCAATCTGCAAATAATTCCATTGAGGTTTTGTGCAGTTGTTATTGAAGGCATTGAAGCACTGTACACAAACTGCAATTGTTAGTTGAGTTATCTATGTGCTTACACAAATGGCTAGGTGAACTAATGTGTTTATCATCCTAAGCCATACAGTCTGTTTTCAATTTTCAGGAGAGTCTGGTCTCGGGAAATCTACATTGATCAACAGTTTGTTCCTCACAGATCTCTATCCTGAGAGGCATATACCAAGTGCATCAGGTACCAGACCACATGGCAAAATCTTTGTTTATTTTCTGATTTCCATAAAGCCATTTTTATTTCCATATGAAAAGAATGAAGTATGAGTTAATTCCATTTGAAAGAAGGATTTACAGACTACTGCTTTATCCAACAAAGCAAAGTTACCTGAGTGCATACTACAATGTATGCCTGTTTTTCATCTCCATTATTTAGAAAAAATTGATAAAACTGTGAGCATTGATGCATCGACAGTAGAGATTGAGGAGCGCGGCGTAAAGCTGAGACTTACTGTGGTAGATACTCCAGGCTATGGAGATGCCATCAATAACAGTGACTGGTGAGTGGTGGTACTTAAGGCATTTGGAAAAGCAGTTCCTTGTGGCATTACTTTGTGTCCGTGACTGAGTAGGAGGTCTCTGCCTATTTGGAGTGTAGAACATGGCAGACTTGGCCCACACGAGTTGGGCAGCCAGTTGCTCTGAGCACTGATGTTGAAACAGCAGTAGCTGCATTTTGTAAAGATTAGTTCAAGTGAGTGCTCAGAACTGTGCACCAAAAAAAAAATGGAAGTTTCAACTTGGCGTCTACCCTGAGCGGGACCAAGAGAGGACGCAATTTCCCTGGCAACAGAGGATCCTTTGGTGGGAATTGTCCTTCACTGGGCCACAAATGACTGCAATATGCACTCCTTATGGTTGCATGGTTACCAACAAAATGAATGCTCCCTACCAACGTGGCTCTTTTCAGCAGACGAGGGGGTGCTTCTGCCCAAGGGGGATTCCGTAGATATGTTCACACTGTGTGTAGAGAATAGAGAGGTTCATGACAAAATCATTAGAATATTTGGACACAGCATGAACAAACTTGCACAAAGCTGCCTTTTTTTTCTGTCTGTTTGACTTTGAAAGAAGCACCAAGTCCTCACTGTTGCCAAGTTTACTGATTTGTTGGCGTTTGTTCCATGAAGTAATTTTGAAATCAGTAACCAGGAAGAGTGACTATTTTTTCTCAGCTTTGATCCCATCCTGCACTACATTGACGACCAATACGAGCGTTACTTGAATGACGAGAGTGGCCTGAATCGTCGTAACATCATTGATAACAGGGTCCACTGTTGTTTCTATTTTATCTCCCCTACTGGGCATGGGTAAGGACACACCTCTCGACACTCCTCAAAACTGTAAAGCTTTGATTACTCTGAGCTCTTAAAATGGAACCAGATTTCTTTAAATCTGAAGATAGTCTCATCCTTTTCTGGAATTGTTGCAGTACATGTGTTATTGTGCGCTGGGCCTTCGTGAAATTTTTAGATAAAACCTAGCAGAAAGGTTGCTTCAGATTTCATGACAAATTGGAAATACATGCAAAATGCCCATTTTTGAAATTGTTCAGTCACAACTTTTTGTTTTCTATGACGTGTGTTCAATGCATGTGCCAACAGCACATGTGAAAGGTTGAACTATGACCAACCCTGACAACAAAACCCCATGTCAGATCTAATGGAAGGTTTTCATGGAAGCCTATAACAGATGTCTGCCAAGTTTGACAAAGATCTGGCATGCGACAGCAATTAAAGAGGGTGGCATTTGAAGCAAGATATGGGACGGAGAGCACCCCACCCAACACACCTTTGTGTTGGTCTTTGTTTGATCAGAATCTCAGGAATTCTCCTCGGACATCTAGGGGGATGTGTTAGGTAACAATAGTCTAGAGTGTGTATAGGGATTGGACATGTAGGGGAGTACCCCTCCGTCCCATATCTTGCCAGGTATATGAATCGTGTTTCAAAATCTTGTATTGCATATGTTAAGATGTGTGTTAGTTGAGACTGTGGTTATGCTGGTCTGTGCTATGACTTTCTCAAGCAGTGTGCCCGTGAGAGAAGCCACGACTACAGAGCAAACTAACCCTGCACCCTGCCTTATTTACTTTCATATTTACATTCATTTCTCAGTCTGAAGCCCTTGGATGTGCAGTTCATGAAGGCACTGCACAGCAAAGTCAACATCGTCCCTGTCATCGCTAAAGCTGACACCCTCACCAGGAAGGAGATTGCAACCCTCAAGTCTAAGGTGAGCTTTCTTTATTAGTATTGTATATTTCTGGTAATGACACCAAGGATTTCTCAAAAGCGCCCCAGGCACTGTAGCTCGCAAGTCTGAAGAAACCTGTAGAGAGGAGACAATGAGAAGCAGTTACAGTTTTAGAGGTGGGAGGAAAACCCCAGAGGAATATTTTGGTAAAACCCATGGAATCAGGTAAGGACTGAAAACCCAATCCACATGTGGATCGGGCCGGGATTCGAACCCGGGCCGCAGAGGTGGAAGGCGAGGAAAGAACCACTGCGCCAACCTGACTCCTTTTCACAACAGACATGGTGAAGGAATTACCCTAGGAGACTTTTCAAGATGGTGTGTCATCAAGGTGTGTAAAACACTTTGGTCTGATATCTTTGGAGCTCAGATATCGTGGCCCATATGTCAGTCCACACTCGTTACAAGTACCACAGTTGGTACCCAAGCATCTTGGGCCAAGCATAAAACATTTCCATTCCGCTGGTTCACAAATATTTAATTCATAGTCGGGGGACCAGTAAAAGTCCCCACAGCTCCATCCAATTTTTCCTAGCAGTAGAAATCGTCCCCAGATGATGGTCGCATCTAGGGCACCGATGTACATGTTTAAAAAAGTAGCATACCCGGGGAGACTGAACTTAGCAAGGATCTTGGGATAAGATGGACTACATCTGATTCTACTGTCAACTTTACAACCTGTGGTGACTTTCAGATCATGAGCGAGATCGAGGACAACCACATCAGAATCTACCAGATGCCGGACTCAGACTCGGATGAGGATGAGGATTTCAAGGAGCAGAACAAGCAACTCAAGGTGAGAGGCCCACAGTGCATGGAACTCAGTCTTGTAGTCGAGACTATCACAAGACCAGTCACAAGTAACAGTGAACAATGAACTCAGTCTTGTGGTCGAGACTATCACAAGACCAGTCACAAGTAACAGTGAACAATGACAAAGGAATGCTTTTGTTGCAATTCATTTGAATAGCTTGTGACTTGAATTCAGACTGGAGATCTTGTGCTGGTCTTGTGTGGTCTTGTGAAGGTCTTAAGTGGTCTCGACTACAACACTAATGGAACAAGTAAAATTGAATATTACTGAATGGGATCAAAACCCATAGGTGATGCACGCAAAGAATTCTAAGTTCTTGGCCAGTGGGATATTTATAGATGTTATAATTTACTGGAGCTGGGAGCAACTTGTCTTTACATGCTTGGTTCCTGGCTCACCTCAGTAATGAAAACCTGAATCTTTTACTTTCAGGCTGGTGTGCCTTTCGCTGTTTGCGGCTCAAGTCAGATGATCGAGGTCAAAGGTCGCAAAGTTCGAGGGAGACTCTACCCTTGGGGTGTAGTCGAAGGTTAGTCATTGGCTTAATTTGTTTCTCATTCACAATGCACTATATCCATTTGTTGGTCATCTTGAAGTGAAAGTGAAGGAAAACTGTTTATTTTGTGGGAGCCTGAGGGTAAAAATAACAACAAAATTAAAGTTCAACACAAATTCCTGCAATTTTTTGTTGAGAGTAATTTAAAATTTGTGATAAATTAAATCCAAATACTTTAAGTCACATTTATAAAAAATAGTGAGGTTGGGAACCCCAAATAGTCTGGCACCACCCCGCATGACAGATTACATTGAATAGGATAGGTTCAGGGAACAAGATTTTAAAAAATGGCTTCCAAGTG